GCAGGAATCTGTGCCGAATTTCATGTTTTTCACTAGATCCATAGGTGATATGGAAGATTCTTCACTGATGATAACAAAGATTTCTGATTATATCAAGTTATTCCTGATGCCAAAGACAAGGGCTGACTTTGAAGAACGATAAAGGGACTTTACAGTACAGAATAACTGGGTGATAAAATTGCAGATGAAATTCATTACTAATAAATGCTAAATATAATACATTTATAAATGTATTATATTTAAAAGTCAGATATGCTAATTACAGATTTAATTTTCCAAACATGGATGAGATTTATCTTTGTTGAATAAGGAACACAGTTTCTCCTCAGTTTCTCCTCACAGAAAAGAGAAAAGAGGAGTAATAAAGTATCTACTTCCTAAAGCATTTGAAAATACCTGAAATGACCAGTTTTGAGAAAAAGAATCTAACACAAAGCTAATTGCAACTACTTGTACTGGTTAATGAAACCTGCAAGGGAAATGTTTTAGTATTTGAATATCAGAACAATTAAAAAAAATCAGAGACCTTTACTTTCTTTAAAAGTATCTATAAAAGCATGCCTGTTTACTTTTATCTTTCAATCTGTGACCTTAATAACCAGGATTGTTTCTCAAGAGCAACAGTCAGCCAGGAGGAAAATTACAATTACATTAATGTTTTGACTTTTGTAGGTGAGAGAAATCAACTTATATGATTTGCAGAAAAGAAAATTACAACAGACTAGAAAAGCATATTTATTCCATAAGAATACTGCAGAACTTTGTGAAAGGTAGTATTTAACAGTCATTAAATACTCCTAAGTACTGTGAATATGTGAAAACTATAACTATGCTTAGAACAACTGCTAGCAACACATTTAACTTTACATCTCTAAATGCAAAAGTGACACTGATTTGACCTTAAATGGGAATTAACTAAACTGTAGCTCAAGACAACATTTTTCATGCAAATAGAATGAACAATAAAAAAATGGAAATGGAGTGCAAACAGAATGTGAAAAATAAGAAAACAGAAATCAGTTTATTTTGTAAATCTGTTAAACATTAAAAAGGACTCTGTAGGTGACACAGAGAGGAATGCTCTATTAATTTCTTTAAATCTGACTCACAAAAATATCTATTACTTTAATGAAACATTTTAAACAAAGTTTAAAGCATCCTTGATTTACTCTATCACAGAAATTATGTTTAACAGTATGGTAAAAGTCTCAAGAAGGAAAACTTCAGTGTTCTTTAGGATGGAGATTATTCTTTTTGGACTCAATCAGAAGGACTGGTCTGCTGACTGGAACTGTGTAGAAACAATACTTCCATCTTCTAAGTTACAAGGGCAAAGATGAGAACTTTTCTGGCTTTTAGGCCTAAGTTCAGATTGTCTACATATCTGTTTTAGGATTCACAGCAGAGAACAGAGAAGATTCTGGCCAGTGGGTGACCCAAGATACCTAAGTGTTTAATTTCACATTATTATCTTCATTAGCAAAGCTATATGACAATCTTCCTATTGATAATTTCTAGCAATTCACTCCAATGTCTGTACTGTTCCTTCATTTGTGGGAGGGCATTTATAAATTAGACTTTTGAAATGCTCTGAATTTAAAAGTAATGCCACTTTAAAAATATTTTAGATTTATTTTAGCATCGGGTTCTTTGGCTTTTTTTTTTTTTTTTACATATAGATGAAAATATCACCAAGTTGCTCCACAAAAAATTGCATTAGCAAAAGTCAGAGTGTGGGAGCTGGAACAATTGGTGACTTGATGCATGCAGGGCTTGAAAACTCCTACAACAACATTGCCTGCAAAGAAAATGTGAATGCCTGCTGCCACTAAAAGAAGAGGAGGTACTTCCATACACTTTGTTGCATGTCCCTGATGTTACTCATAGAAATAATAGACAAAGGTGTAGAAACTCCTGGCTCCCTCAGTTTTTATGTCTGCACGTGTGTCTTACGCAGAGATCATTGGGGAGCCCTGAAGTCAGAGTTGCAGAAGCCTAACAAAAGCAAGCAAAAGGACTTAAGGCTTTTCTGATACATTTGTTTACTGGAAATGTAATATTAAAAGTAATAACTTTTCCCAAAAATGAACATCAAAAGGAATTTTACATTCCCATAATGACCACAGAGAAAAACATAGAAAGGCTAGACAAACTTCTCTGTTTCCTAAAAATGAAGGAACTCTCATGTAACCTACAGACATCTTTGCTTGCTACCCCAGGGGGCTGGGCCTGGGTTCAGCTCTCTGCCACCAAGGCCATCTGAAATGTGGGGCAAAATTAGCCTCCTTCTTCTGCTTTTTTTACCTGCCTGTAATATGAAAATAGCAATATGGATCTTCCCAGCAAAGATGATATTTGTGTATTGTGCATCAGAACTTTCATGATGATGCTGCAAAGTTCTTTGCTATATGGCATATATCTCAATTTATATATCCTTGCCAAAGTTGAAATAACTCAACAATGGGTTTGCCTATATCTTCCATGAAAGGGAGCAAAAAGTCCTATATCTTAAGTAATCCCATTTTCTGTGTTTGTGCTTTATTTATTTTTCGTTAGATTCCTTAGAAGTTTGACATAAATAGTTAATTTGTTTCTGCTGAGTTTTATGTAATGTAATGACTGTATTTATAAAATATTTTATAATGTTTTTTCCAGTGCATGATACAATATAGTCTGAATTTATATTTTGAGAAATCAAAATATATTTTGAACATTTTTCTCTCTGAGAAATTAATGCCTCCAACCTGATGGATTTTTTTCTTCCTCTGAATTTCCAGTAAAAATGTTCCTTAAAGTGTGACAAAACAACAACAACAAAAAGAATTTTTTTTCAACTAAGGATCATTCTTCTTTATTTTAATCATATTTCAGGTATTTTGGAAGAGAATCCAGGCCTGCTAATTTCAATTTTCTGTCTTTTTTTAAGTCACTACTTGTTTAATAAGAAAAAAATTGAAAGGATTTGGGCCTAAAAAAACCCACAGATGGATTAACTATTATTTTCATTTTTAATGATATAGTGTTCAAATGTGTGATCTTTAAGCAAGGATGGCTGGAAGACAAATTCCTCCCTAAATCATTAAAATATAATACAGAATTCTAATATTTAATTTAAATGCTTTTAGAGAACATTTAGGTCTTTACTAACATATTCCTTTGATGACCATGAAGAGAAAACTTAAAAACAGAAAAACAGAGAATGCTTTTAAAAGCATTTTACCTGTAGAGTTGTTTTTCCACCTTTCTTTTAGCCTTTCCCCCTCGATCATATGTATTACCTTGTCTAACAATCAATTGATTCACTCTTTCACAGTAGAAATATGGTAGTGGTCTAGAAGAAGACTGGTTAATGAGAAATAACTCACCCAGTGGGACACTTTAGAGACAGTAATCTGTGTAAAACATCTAAGTTTATTGTGGATGCTGCCAAGTCACAGAAATGTATAGCTATGACTACACTGCTGTATTATGAAGTCATTGCAAATTTAAAAACCCTTAAAAGTACACATTTTCAGACTCCTGGAGAGTCTGGTGGTCTCATCTTTTACTATTAGTATGTCTTTAATTAGGAAGAAGCCTTTAGCATTGATAACACTCAGATGCTTCACATTAAAGCGGAGAAGCATTCTTAAAATAAAAAAATAAGTACTTCAGGATAAAATAAAGCACAAACAACAACTAAATTTAGCTAGCAGATTCTTAAATGTGTTCCAGCACCATAAATTATGGCTTAAGACTACATATCAGACCCATAAAAATACCCATACCTAGCAGTCTCTTTCCAATTCTAAATGCTGTGTAACAGCTAAAGCTTCTAGGTAATGAAATCTAAGCTAGATTCTGGTCTCAGAAAGACTTCTAAATCCCAACCGAGGAGATGCTGTCATAAACTTGCAGTCTTTCCTGAAGAAATTATTTCACCTTTCAAAAAACATGATTCTACTGTAAATATATTTGGGTGATGTTGGAAATACAGTTCTAAAGAAATTATATTATTCCTCTCTTTATGTGTTTCCCCTTTGGAGTGAAAAAATGGTAGCATTGTTTTCATAACCTTTCTCAAGTGTCACAGAGTAAAATTTTGAATATTATATATTCCTTTTGACATTTTCAAAACTACACTAATATAGAGATATTGACATCTATAATCAATCTTTTTAAATTGAGAAAAAATTGAATGAAAAACCACAATTCTGACCCTTCCCACACTATTATTTCAGTATTATCAGGCTCCAAACTACATTCACTTCCCATTTTACAAAATTGTATTTAAAGCTGAACTTTCTCATGGACAGGAAAAAGGACAGCAATGATACCATTAATGATAAAAAAGAAGCCAAGTTTAACAAACATGAGCATCTATTCATATAAGTGTAGCGTGCAGGTTCAAGAATCACCATAACTAACTAGAGAAAAATGATGGTTCAGAATAATATCACTTCAGGTATCTCTTCACTGAGCTAAAGAAAGGCAAGGACAAAACAATATATCTGAAAGACTAGGTGGCTCAAGAAAATAAATTTTAGTGGTAATACACTTGAAGTTTACTGGTATATTTTTGTTAAAATAATTTATTGCTTTTTACAAAATTTTTCTACAAAAAAACCTGTGTTTGACTATATAAAACCTTCAAAAGTAATATTTTTAAAATGCCATCTGTTGATTTCTCCTATCATTTTGGATGAATTGGTCTGTACAGTAGAAGACTTACATTGTAAGTATAGAAAATCAGCTCAGGAAATGTCACTTCACATTTCCAAAGACCAAGAGCAATCTTGCAATAAGAAAAACATTAACCAGAGAGTCTATTCTGAAATACTGCACATATCAGGTGATTGAAGGCATAAGCTTTCTGGCCTTATATCTTAAAATTTATTCACATTTGCAATAATTTTCATGTGATGCTCAGGCTGTCATATTTTACAGCTAATTAGAAACTTTTCAAAAATTTACATCCTATAAATACAATTTATGGATTTTTCTCCTACATGTTCACTTACTTTTTATTGGGATAATGAGCTGAGGAACAAGAGGAAGAATCTTATTTCCACCATGCTCCAGGAGGTCATGGACTCCTTGACGAGCAAAAAACTCATATGGAAATTCTGTTTCACAAAGCCCATCAAAGAACAAAGGCAGAAAGTAATGATAGTCCAGGTTTTCTAGGTCTACCTGAAAACACAAAATAAATAAACAGATAAATGCAATTTTTCAGTACTAATACAATGTGATCAGGCCAACAGATAATTCATGCCACCAACACAGGCATGTTTAGTAAATAATAATTCATTTTTTATCACTGCAGTATATATTGAATCACAGCTATGGTTTATGACAAGATATTAAAATACAGAAATATTAGAACTAAAGAGGAGAATAAAAATTAATATACTCCCATATATTTTCACTTCTTGATAAGTCAGTACCAGATTCTTATATTTTTGCTTACACACTTTACTTGGTAAGTTACCTATGGGAATTCAAACCAGTCATTTTAAAACAATACTCTGCCTCTTTCAAAAAAAATTTATATTTTTTATATCTTCACTTGGACACTCAAAACAACCAATAACAGAAACAATCCAGTGAGCAACAAATATCCAACACAGCACTATCATCCATATTTGTATATAATTCCCCATTTTGTTGAATATTGATCTAGTTTATTTCCTATTAATTTAAAGAGCAAAATTATAAAGAAATTCCATGGTTCTCTACTGTGAAGAAAAGTTAGAGAAATTATGTACCTATTTTTGATGGGAATTTCCTTCCAATCCTAAATTAGAAAGTATACTAATCTTAACAAGCTATGGAGGGATTTTGAACTCTAGTTTTCTCCCTTTTTCTTCTTTTACCCATTAGGACCTTACCACAGACACTCAGGCTAGCCAGGGAGAATCAGAAGTTTGTTTATGGCTTGTCAAAGCTCTGAATACAGCTGAGAAGTAACTCAACAGCAATGAATTTTCTCTGAAATGAATATGATCCTCCAAATCACTTGGAGACCTATCCATCTCTTTAAGGATGCACTTCCATCTTTGAAACATAGCTTAGCTGCTACCCATTTTTTCCAGTGAGATTTGGTAGTATCCAGGTAAGATTCTTCAGACCTAACATGCTTTGTCACATAGGCCAAACTGAAGATCCAAATACGCTAGATAAAATTTGTCAGGTTAAGCAAAAGAAAAAGCCCCATCCATTGATTTCAGAGCAGAAATTGCATTCTCACTTGAAATGTGGAAGTCTGAACAAGCAGGCAAGAACTGAACTCTACAATTGGGTAAATCACACAGTCAGGAAGCAGCACATAGACATTCTCTTTGAGGCCATCGCTCATATTTCTCCTTTGCTTGACTCTGAGTAGATTTGGATCCTGGTCTGGCACGCCTTAGCTACTGACTTCAATTGTTCATGTTGAAACAGATCAAGCCATGTAAAACATAATTAACTGGAACTGATACTTGAAAGTAAGTATTATGCATTTGCTGTGAGTGTCTCACTAGTGGCAGACATAGTGCCAATAACATACTAACATAGCCTCCCATGCACTGATTGTTAATCTCTTATAGGAGATTAAAAGGGCAATTACATAATACCTATTCACTGATGTGAATGAAATCAAATCCTAGTAGTGGAATGTGCTGGAGAGGGAACAAAGGAAACTCACATTTCTTCATGTTTTATCAACATCATATATTGCTTGCTTAGCTGTTATTTTCTTCTCATTGGCTTTTTGCTTAACAAGAAAAAAAATCAAATGTCTTTATCAGATGTCTTTATAGTCAGTATAAACCCAGGAAAATGGCCTCAACTTGCTCCAGGGAAAGCTTAGTTTAGATATTAGGAAAAATTTCTTCACAGAAAGGATTGTAAAGCACTGGAACAGACTTCCCAAGGAAGTGGTGGAGTTGCCAACCATGGACGTGTTTAAAACACGTGGCACTTGAGAACATGGTTTAGCAGTGAACATGGCACTGGTGCTGGGTTAAAAGTTGGACTCCATGGTCTTTTACAAGCTTAATGATTCAAAGACTATATAATTGTATGGCTATACCATGGTCAATTTCTGACAAATTTCAAAAAAAACCAAAATAAGTAACAAAAAGAAATTAAATATTATTATTATTAATAAATAAAATAAAAATTTAAAAACACAAATTCCTAAATTGGTCGGGTTTGCATTTCTTCAGGACATTCAGCATGCTCCTAGCAATACTCAGTAGATGATAAAAGACTTCTCCAAAAGTCACAAGAAAGTTGTATCAGGTAATAACAGACCAGGAGGTAAAAAAATCATTGACAAAAAAGCAAGACCAAGAAGAAGCAAATTTTTTGTGTTTTCTGTCAGTAGGACAATAAAACTCTCTTTAGTATTTATTTTTAATGTTTAATTTGTAATATATAATTTTTTGGTATTTAATGTTTTAGTTTCAGAAAATCAAAACCAAAACCTGTAACAACAACTTGTGTCTGGCAAAAGCTTGAGACGTTAAAGAGAGAGATACAATTAGTAATAAGTCTTTTTTTATATAAATGGTAGGCGTTTCCCAAGGCAAAACACCTTACCACACTGTCTTATTGAGATGAGATTTAGAATGGATTCCTTACATGGGTATTCGACAAATCTTTCAAAATTAAAAAGTATTTCCCCAGTGAAAAATATCCTTGATACACATCCATGTTAGGTTACTGAATCAGAATTTGCATCTATTTTGCTCCAAACACACGTCTCAGTTTTTTTCTCTCAGTTCATTAATACCTCATTAATACCTCCCTACCTGTAACTGCCAGTTATATTTCTACTCCAAGATTTGGCATTTCTGATACTCCGTGCAATTTTTTCCTTTTTTTTTTTTGTGCTTGAAATATGCTTTTTCTGTTTCAGGTATGAAGAAAGCTTCTGTATTCAAAAGCTTGTCAATGTTTTTCATCAGTAACAATTGGCAAATAAAATATATTATCTTTATCTATCAACTGTATTATGGTTGCACATTACATATACATGGCAACTTTAAGGTAAATATTATCTCAGGATTTAAAAACAACTCAAATTTTACACATAGCACAAAAGATTTATTACAAGAAATCTTTTACAAAATAGACAAGCCATAGATTATAGAGTATTTGTGTATAATCTTTTATATCCTCAATTAGTTCCAAATGCCTAAATGGTTGGCAACTAGCATGGCTCTGAAAATGATTCTGATTTCTAACTTATTTCTTGAAATCTCAGCTGTCCAAGCACACAGGCAATTTTTACTTAGCTTTTTTTTTTTGCTCTATAAGAACTCGCACAATATGCAAGCCAGAAATATTTTGTCTTGCATTCTGTGGTGTGAAACTCTTTCCTTCTGTGTTTACTATTTAGCTTTTGAAAGTAGCTATTATACAGCTGTTCAAAGAAAAATGTGATTTTTCTGGTTGTGCCTAGAACACCCTTTTGTGTTTTATATCCACCCACAAAAAAATACTGATTAATACTCAAATTCTTGGCAAAATTTTCCACATCTGAAAATAATGCTGTAGCTATGGATTTTAAGAAGAAATCTCACAATAATTCTTATGAACTTCTGTACTAGTGGTTTGTAAATTTTGCAGACACAGCCTCTGAATTTTCAGTAAAGTTGTACTATTAAAAAATAATGTATAATATATGCTTAGATAACAAAAGCAACATAGAATGAGTAAAATCTTCTATTTCATGCAACTTTCAGGATCCTTATGTGTTTTAAAAGCTTCCTACGTGAAAAACAAAACACGATTAATAAGTACTGCTTTATTGTTACATAAAACTAGCGTACAAGATAGGAGGAAACTAATGGCAGAACCACAGTCAGTTTGTCCAGGAGAGAATCTGTTCCTACGAAGCAGCCCATAGTGAATGGCAAGTCTGCTGAGGCAAAGAACAATCAGATAAATATTCTAGATTGGTAATAGAAAAATAAGATTTGTGGCTAATCTGCCTGATAGATGAAGAAAAACTATTTGAGTGAAATTAAGGTATAGAAGAACTTTGACAATAATGGTATCATTTGTCTTCCTTAAAGAATTCTATTAAAAATAATCTAGTAAACTGTAAGAAAAACACGAGTTTTAGAAAGTAGTGTTTAAGCCACATAATTTTCCATCTCATTTCATACAACTGATTACATAATGCAGTGTCTTTGATTATCCACAAACAGGATTTGATCTCCCAGAAATATATCTATGTATGTACTCATGTCTTGGTCTAAGGCATTAAAATTAAGAAACTCTGAAATTGTTGGGTTGATAAGGACAAACAGGAGTTTTTATAAGGCTTGTAAAGATTTTGTAAGGATTCTTTTGTAAAATAATAATTTCTCATAAGATTTACTTTAATGTCTGTTTTTTAGGGTAATGGAAAAAGAAAAAAAGAAAAACATTTTTGAGCAGTCTCAGTTTTTAACTTCCTTTCCACTTTTTCTTCCAAAATTTCTTTCAACCTTTCTTTTTTTTTCTTCCAATATCCTGTACAATTAGTCAAGATGAAGTCTGTGCATTTCAGTTTTTGGTTTCTTGCTTTTAATATATTTGATTCATAATCACATATCAGCTTTATTCTTCACTATGGAGCAAGTAATGCTCACTACTATTTCCTAGACTTGCCTAGATAGACTTTTCAATATGGTAATTTTGCTTATGGTTCAAAACACACTTCCACTGTTGCATTTAGTCCCTAGAAGTTTGTGGGTTTTTTTATAGCAAATAAAAATTCTTTTTAGTCTGCTTTGTTTCACCTTCCAATAGGGTCATACTACAAAGATTTTCTATTGAAAGATGTTTAGTCTAAGTAATCACCTGTGTCTTATCAAAATAAAAAAATACAGTTGTGACTGTATTTCCCATTCTGCAATGAAATGCTAAAATACTTATCTTAAAACAAGTGGAATATTATTAGAACTGAAGATATACAGATAATGGCATGGGACACAATAGAAACCATTTAACTCAGCCAAACTATATTTAGAGACTCTTTAACAGATTCTATAGATATTTAACAAGAAGTTAAATAACAAAAGAAATATTTGCATCCTATGGATAAATTAAGAGAAGCAATAATAAATGTCATATAGTGTTACTATACTGGATATTTGAATTTAGCTTTGAAATAAATCCACATGTAAAAATAAAACCCAAAACCCTAAAAATAC